TATGCATTAAATTATTGAGTATGAAATGGTTCAAGGACCTGTAATCAAGCATAAAGTAAACTGATTTCAAATTGGCAAGATTATGAACATGTCTTGATGAAGAACAAAAAGTGAATTTTTGCCAACTTGTGAAATTCGAATCTCTCAAGTTATGAGGTTGTTTGATGAGTTCTTAGACATTTTGGAAAGCTTGGAATGTGTACTACAATCCATCTTTGAAATGAAAATCAAAATTCCAAGTGGAAGGGTATGAAAAGTGGCCTTGAAGTAGGGTAGAAAACCTTGTCAAAATAGGTCAAATTTCACTAAGTTAAAAGATGGTTTAGTGCCCTTATTCAAAAAATTATAACTTGAGATACAAGCTTCAAATGAGAAAGCTTTGTGAATCAAAGTTATAGATTATGCAACAAGCTACAACTTTCATGTTTTGACTTTTGTTTGAATCCAAATGGATCATGGTGAAAAGATGGGGCAAAGTTGGGAAAAAATTAGGGTTTTTCATAACTTAGAAAAATTCTAAGTTATGAAAAATTCCATTTTCAAACCCTAATTTGCATTTTGTGATTTCTTGATGAACAAGTTTCATGATTTGGCATGTTTTGATGAAAAATTAATCTTGACTCTTGACTTTGACCAAAAAGTCAAAGTTTGACTTTTCAGTATACAGTCAAAATTGATCAATTGACTGGGAAATTCAACTGTCAATCTTGTGTACTTGGGATCTTTTGAGCTTGATGAACATGTCAAGATAATTCCATTGAGTCCTTGAGGCCATATGTGATCTTTGTTTTCCATTGGCTAGGTCAAACAGTCAAAAATTGCCTTTGTGCAGTCAAAACCCTAAAAATGACCATTTTGCCCTTTTGATGATCTGATCAAATTTCTTGGGGAATTGAGATCCAAACTTGATCAAATGGTCCATATGAGTTCATAATGTTGATGTGGATCAAATTTCATGAGGTTTGACTGTCAATTGGCCACAATTGACTTTTTCCCCAATACAGCTGATTTCTAGGTCAACTGTCCAATTGACTGGGTAAAACTTGGAATCAAGACTTGAAACTTGGCATAGGTAAACTTGGGAGTCCAATATGAAGCATGAAAGTCATCTTGAGCTTTTTAGGTCAAAACATCCTTAGGCAAACACAAACCCTAATTTGAGTCCACAGTGCAAGGAGAAGTCTTGAGCAGAGGAAACCCTAACTGTATCTTGATCTTCAAAGGTCTTGTGATGAGAAAATGTTGAGGAAATGGGAGGGCAAATTTTGGGGTACAACAGCCATCTCACTTGGCTAAAAGAGAGAGGAGGCGCCAAGTGGGATGGCGCCTAGGGAAAAAATGTGAGTGGAGGCGCCAAGTGAGATGGCTCCTCCCTTGAGGAGTTTTCAGAAACATGGTTATTTACGTAATTTTTTCCGAAGCATGATTATTTGCGAATTTTTTTTTAATACCTGATTATTCCAAAAAAAATTCTAAATTGATACTCGCTCCAAGATCTAAAAGTGATTTCTTAACTATAGGTCACCAATTATGTCTTGAAATGTAATTCTACCTGGATCATTAGCTTTGATTGGTAGAGTCTTATGAATGATTGCATTGCAATTTGCAATATGTCTACCTAGATCAATACCTTTAGAATTCATTTCTAATTAGTAAAAGTCATTCGATTATTTATATTAATATTTATGCTAAATTAATTATTTTAGTCAATAAAATTATAATTAATAAACATAAATGTTATTCCTACATCAATAATTATAATAAAATATTATTTGTCGTATTTATACAGTAAACAATATATATATATATATATATATATATATATATATATATATATATATATATATATATATATATATATATATATATATATATATATATATATATATATATATATATATATATATATATATATATATATATATATATATATATATATATATATATATATATATATATATATATATATATATATATATCGTAAGCAGTATATATCGTAAGCAGTACGTGAACAATAACCGTGAATAATAATCGTGAACCGTATTTGTAAATAGCACATGAACAATGACTTTTAATGATGAAATAAAATTGGTTAATAAAATATAAAAGTTAGTTAATAAAATGATGAAGTTTATTAATAAACATTCATATATTAAAAATAATTTAGTAAAAATAGAATTGATTAATAAAGTGATGAAGTTATTAACAAACGTTCAGATACTAAAAGTAATTTTTAATAATAAAATAAAATTGGTTAATCTAATATTAAAATGTTGATTAATGAAGTTGGTTAATATACGTCTAAATTTTAATAATTATGAAGTTGGTTAATAAAATTTAAAATATTAATTAATGAATTTATGAAAATTGGTTAATCACATGATTTTATCTATATATCTTTAATCTAAAAAAATAAAAAATATTTTTTATTTTTTTTATAAAAATAATTTATTATTATAATATTTCATTATTTACTGTATTAATAAACAATAAAATACAGCATAACTATAAGATATTAATGTAAGAATATCATTTTCAACAATAAATTATTCTACTAACTATCCTCAATAAATTTCCTATTACATTTTCATCAATGTTAAAATTATTTGTACTATATAATTTTTCTACTATTTTCAAAATTAAAAAAAAAAAAAGTGTACTAACGTGAATAGTAGTCTGAGAATAATTGTGTGGTTAATAAGCAATTTATTTAAAAAATAGAAGCAATATTTGTTTAATATTCTTGTCTTGGAAGGCCTTCGTTGTGGTCGATTGTCTCTTTCACAATGAAGTTGTGGCTGTGTCGGTCAAACCGTATAACCATATGAGTGTTGGCTTTAGCACTTTCAGCCTTAATGTATTTCATGCAGCTTTCACTCCATAGTTGTCCAGATTGCAACACCGCATTCCACATTTCACCTCTTTTGGAAAATAACGCAACCATCCTAAAATACGTAGATTTTACCAAACTAGTGATCGGGAGGTTTCGTATGCCTTTGAATACCCCATTCATTGATTCAATAAGATTCGTTGTCATGTGCCCCCATCTTTGGCCATTGTCGTATGACCTAGTCCACTTTTCCACCGGAATATTGTCGATCCACCTACCGGCTTCCGGATTTGACAAACGGATCTCGTTGCGGTAATATTTGAATGTGGGTTGTGTCAATGCATATCCCGCATTCATAACCGCTTTCTTTAATGTTTTGTCCTTGATCTCCCTCGTGAAATTCTGGACGATATGCCTAACGCAATAGACATGCGTAGAAGGAGGGTCATGCCAACTGTTTGCAGGATTATTGTAGGCACTTTCAATGGAGGCATGTCTGTCCGAGATCAAATGTCCCACAACCAACCACAATCACCACCTCACTACCAATACCCTGATATGTCTCACGCCCAACCACAATACCAATCACAATACCAACACACTCGCATACCCCACACACAATTTCAGTCTTCCGTATATCCCAATATGGCCCCCTCAACATCCAGCCTTAGCCCTGATATGGGAATGTCAGAAGATTACGAACAAACCGACCCAGCCTACCATCAACTACAATATCACCAAACCACCCAACATCCTCAATACCAAACACCCCTAGATCCATTTCCTTTCTACCCACCATACTCAGACGATCAATGCTACAGACCCACCATGGAACCCCACCCACCGCCAACACGACCAAACTTTAAGGGTATGGGTAACCGACTGTACCAAAGCGGATCTTCTAGATATGAAGATCTGACTGATTTTATGGGTCAGGACCGCATTGACTTCGCTGGGCCATCGACCCTGCCGCAGCAGGAAACGCGACGACACCCAGCACGGGAAAGGCGAGAACGGGGATGCGGAACCGGGGGTCATTATCGGGTTCCGGGGGATCACTGATTTATCTGGTTTTTTTTTCCTGTTTTTTTTATCTGTTTTTTTTTATCTGTTTTTTTTTATCTGTTTTTTTTATCTGTTTTTTTATCTGTTTTTTTATCTGTTTTTTTATATGTTTTTTTAATGTAATACAGTTGGATGTAATTATTTTTTATTAATAAAAAGTCCATTTTATTGATCATGTATCTAATACGCAACGCACCGGACAAAAAAAAAATCAAATTTTGCCCTAAAAACACACCTAGGCGCCATCTCACTTGGCTAGGGCATGCCCTAAGCACATAGGCGCCAAGTGAGATGGCGCCTCCCCTTAAAAATGGGAGTAGGCGCCAAGTGAGATGGCTCCTCCTTTGGGGAGTCATCTGAAACATGGTTATTTGCGTAATTTTTTCCGAAACGCGGTTATTTGCGAAATTTTTTTTTAATACTTGATTATTCAAAAAAAAATTCGATTAATGAAGTTGGCTAATAAACGTCTAAATTTTAATAGCTATGAAGTTGGTTAATAAAATTTAAAATATTAATTAATGAATTTATGAAAATTGGTTAATGACATGATTTTATCTATATATATCTTTAATCTAAAAAAATAAAAAATAAATTTTTTTATAAAAGTAATTTATTATTATAATATTTCAATATTTACTGTATTAATAAACAATAAAATACAGCATAACTATAAGATATTGATGTAAGAATATCATTTTCAACAATAAATTATTCTACTAACTATCCTCAATAAATTTCCTATTACATTTTCATCAATGTTAAAATTATTTGTACTATATAATTTTTCTACTATTTTTAAAATAAAATAAAAAGTGTACTAACGTGAATAGTAGTCTGAGAATAATGGTGTGGTTAATAAGCAATTTATTTAAAAAATAGAAGCAATATTTGTTTAATATAATAATCTTCTTTGTAGAAAATTGTGTTTTGATGAATTTCAAATTTAATTTATTAACGAATCGTAATCGTTATCAATCACAATTTTTATTTATGAATGGATATGACATAAAACACAAGACAACAATAAAATATTAATTTATAGATGATAAATATATCTTTAAATATGCAGAAAAATATTACTAAAGAAAATATGAAGTTAAAATCAGTTTATTAATTTAACTGGTCTTGGAGTTTGGAGTAGGAATGTAGAATTCTTGTAACACTTTAAATTATGAATCAAATAATCACCATTTTTCCCTTTCGAAACCAACGAGTAGTTATTTTGTTGATTGAGAATTCTAGGCCATGAACCATGTTTGTGTATTTGTACAGCTTTAACATCCTCAAAATTGGTCTCTCTCTTGAACCTCTTTGACCATTTTGGACTCTTGTTGTCGAATAACACAATTTTCTTATTCATCATAGACTCTAAACTACACAACTGTGTTTTCTCTATTACACACTCATCTTTCACAAACTCATCAACAACTTCTTCTTGTTGTTGTTCATTAGCAAAAGTTAGGATAAGGCGACCGTGTTGTCGTTTAGAGAAGAAATTGTTCTGTGAAGGAACCGAGACAACTTGTAGGAACAAAAAGAACCTTCCATTGTCACGGTGTGGCTTCATTTGAAGTTGTTGAGTTTGAGTAGTGAGTGAAGAAAGTGGAGGAGGAAAACAGCGAGGCTTCTTCACTACCATGTTCACTGTTTCTTTCAATTTTTCAGCATTCTCTGAATTATTATCTTCATATGTTGTTGATATGTAAGAAGAAGAGAAACCATCTGAGCCAGTTTCTGATCCAAGGCTCTCTGTGCATATTTCGAGACTCTTTTCACTTAAATAACTTTTTGATTTTTTCACAAGTGGGTGAACATAAGGACTGGTTGTTGATTGTGAAGCTTCATCTTTGTTGTTTTGGTTCAAAATTGAACTCCATATATCCAATTGATCACTAGGAACTTTTGAGTTTGAGTGTTGTTGGGAGGAAATGGTTTTTGTCATTGGGAGTGATAGAGTTGCAAAAGAGGAAGAAAGACTTGAGGAATGGTTGATGGTAGAAATGAAGAGTATTTATAAGCCTGCCAAAAAGCTACTTCACCTGTCTCAAGATTCCATTTGTTGGTTTCCACTATGTTGTTATTCACTTAACAAAAGGTACCACAAAACATAAATAAGGTTTTAAATTTTATACTAGGCTTATTTTAAATTTTATACTAGGCTAAAGGTAGGGCTCTTGTTGGTCCACTTTAGCATTTATACTCAATTTTGAAAATTTTCATTTATATTATATGTTTTTTTTTTGTCAAATGTGAATTAGTAGTCCCACCTTAGATTAAAAAGTGAGTGTTAAATACATATTAATTAGAAAAATATATATATTTATTGTCGTTAAATTTTAAATTAAGATGTAGATTCTCTTCGAAGAAAATCACAAACGCAACAATATAATTCAATAAGGGTTAATACCTATTTTCACCCCTGACATATGGGGTGTATTTGAAAAATCCCCCTACCAAAAAAAAAAGAAGTTCCAATTGTTACCTTGACAAATTTTAAAAATTTCAGTTTTTACCTTGAGGATGCCACATCACCTAAAAGGCTGATGTGGCTTATATTTTTGTTATATTTTTATGACATGGCTTGATTAGTTGTCATTTTTAATTAATTTTTAATTTTTAATTCCATATGGCATTTATATTAATATTTTATTAATTGAGTATTAATTCAAAGTTAAAAATTTTTTGTCCTTCCACAAGAATCGAACCGTGGACATACTGTCTGCAGCGAACGCTTCTTACCACTAGACCAATGCATTTTCTTTGTTATATTTTGGTTTGAACGCCCTTATGCTTCAAGTTGATATTCACAAGCTTACCGTCACCATTCTCCATGGAGTCACTCTTTTGAAAAGAGAACATCAATGAAGCAAGATCAAAACTCATAGACACAATTCCAGGGAATGGACAAGAGCATTTGATAGGAAGGTTGTTACTCAAATGACCAAACAAAGAAGATGAATTTGGCTTTGCTGAATTTCCTTTACCTGCCTTTGGTTTGAAAGAGTTCAGCTCGGCTGTACTTGAAATACTTGGCGATGACTTCGATGAAGGAAGCAAGTTCCCTGTATGACTTAGGGAGAGTTAGAGAACTTTGCATCATCAACTATTGGAAGAAGTAGTGAAGATACTGATGTATTTCCATTCAACACTGAGCCAGATATAGAATTCATACAGATACTTTTACAAAAATGATCAAACATAGAATGTGCAGCTGTCCCACGTATGAGTCGTTCACGGGAGCCTGTCTTTACATCCCAAATGTATAATACATCACCATCAGAAGTTCCATAATGTGTTTGACAGAGACAGGCAATATAACCTCTTGCCCCATCCCATAAAACTTTTGAAGGATAATTCATATGTCCAGGAAGCATTCTTTCCACCTGCAGAGTATCAAGAGAAACAAGGGCAACACATGCATCCTCTCCAACTGAAAAAAAGCAGTCACTCCAAGGATGTCCTGTTAAAGAAGGGGGGAGAATAATTTGACGCACTGCGGCCACATGATGATGCATTACCTTAATAAGACTGCCAGTGTCAAGATCCCATATACGAATTGTACAATCCATACTTCCAGAAATCAAAACTCGATTAAAGGTGCAGCATTTTGAACTACACGTCATTTGAAGCATAAGGGCGTTCAAACCAAAATATAACAAAGAAAATGCATTGGTCTAGTGGTAAGAAGCGTTCGCTGCAGACAGTATGTCCACGGTTCGATTCTTGTGGAAGGACAAAAAATTTTTAACTTTGAATTAACACTCAATTAATAAAATATTAATATAAATGCCATATGAAATTAAAAATTAAAAATTAATTAAAAATGACAACTAATCAAGCCATGTCATAAAAATATAACAAAAATATAAGCCACATCAGCCTTTTAGGTGATGTGGCATCCTCAAGGTAAAAACTGAAACTTTTAAAATTTGTCAAGGTAACAATTGGAACTTTTTTTTTTGCAGGGGGTTTTTCAAATACATCCCATATGTCAGGGGTGAAAATAGGTATTAACCCATTCAATAATATAATCTCTCCCAAATATTAAATATTACGGTAATCAGTAAAAATACAACAAACACAATGCAATTTTAACGTGTAAAAATCTCTGTTAATTAGGAGTAAAAAGCTGCAGGTTTCGTAGGCCACTTGATATCTTCACTATAATCAATAATGAGTACAAGCAAAGTTCTCTTTAACATTAGTTAGAGGCATACATAAACATCATTAAGATCTACAATCAATCTTCAAATACAACAAGAATCAAGAGAGACAAACAAATCCAAAAACACCAAGAAATTTGTACCTCACAAATGGACTCGACAGACAAACTTAGAAAGCTCATAATCTAATCTTCGTCGTTAAGAATGTACTCCTATGAATGAAGAACACTGTGCCAAAATTTCAGAACGAACAAACGGTTGAGTTGTGAGAAAACTCTAATTTTGTGGGACTGGTTGGAGCTGAAAACAGGTTGCGGGAATTGGTGTGGCTGGTGTGTTTTTCACTCTTCTCTCTTTTTTTTCACACATTAACCTTATTCCTCTTTGTTGGATAATAATACAGGCTTACACACACCATAGAGCACTAACACACATTCATTTGTGAGTGCAACTTCACCATTAGATGTTTTGCATGATGTCAAAACTAGGAAAACTTAACATTTCGGTGTCGTTTGATGCACTCGTACATTAGAGATCTTAGGAAGCATTCAAAACAAGTTTAAAATTGTTCTAAATCATGAAAAATTATTTTCTGCACAAAAAACACTTGCATTTGTCGACATATCCTCTTTTCAGGTCGACACATAAGTCTTTCGTGTTGGCACATAAACCTTTCATGCTGACACATGTTGTAGCCTAGCCTTTTCAGGCCGACACATAAGATTTTCATGCCGACACATGTATTGCATTTTTAATGTTTGCACCTTTTGTTTTCTATGTGCTAGTACATATAATCTTTCAGGCCGGCACATACGATTTTTTGTGTCGGCACCTAACTTTTTTAGGTCGACACATACTATTATGTGGATCAAAATTTTCATATTTTTTCAATTATGAAATTTCCCTCTTAGCCATCAAAGTTCCCCAACTATAAACACATCATACATGCTTCATTACAACTTGATGAAACTATAAACACATACCACCATTGCTCTTCACCTTCAACCTCTAACCCATGCATACACACTGATAAATTACACATAATCATCTTTTATTGAGTTACCATCTAGGCGAGGTTTGATAACACCCAATTAGGTTTATGTGTAACCGAGAATATTGGGTTGAGAATGTAGGGGGTTTCATCCGGAAAAACCTAGGGTTTGTCTCCAAGATATTTTTTAGATTTGATGGTTTTTTCAAGACTTTCAAAAGAGGATTGCGGCCAATTGAAAAGTCTTCAGAGTTTGGTACTCAAGGAAGTAGCGAGAGAACGGGAAATAAATTAAAAGTGCTTGTGTTCAATAGTTTAAATTGATTGTGCCTGAAATAGATTTGGAGTTTGGTACCCAAAGGAGTAGAAAGATTCGATAAATCAATTAGGAGCTATTGTCTCTTAGTCTTTTTGAAGATCAAAAGAAGAGAAGTGGTTGAATCAACAACAAATAGTTAGGGTTTGTAGGGTAACTATTGTAACACTTCTCTTGTAATCGACTTTTTACAAAGTAAGAAATTTATCTCAATTCTAAAACAGAATTGGGGGGAGACGTAGTCATAGCGAGGACGATTGGTGAACTTCCTAAACAAATCCTCTCTCTCTCTCTCTCTCTCTCTCTCTCTCTCTCTATCTATCTATCTATATATCTTACTCTCATTTACTTTCTATATGCAATTTGTTGAATGTGTTGTTTGATAAATTGATCCGTATAGAATATTTTTTTGTTAAAGTTTAAATTGATTTGTTGATTATCTTATAATCAATTTGATTGTAAGTGCTTTTTCATATCAATAAAGCTTAAAGAAAATTCTGAAAAAATGATTGCGCGTCACGTGTTCGACAAATTGTCAAGTTATGTTTTTAATATAATTTCATTGGAAATAGGAAACTGTTGTGTTGGATATTAAACTGTTAATTGAGATACTATTATGTTAATGGATTTTATCATTATCTTAATTCCACACGGCTTGTGTATATCTGAGTTTCAAATAACTAGGTTCGTTTAGACTACTATTTTGATCTAGGTAAAAAACCTTCCGCTCAACATTGTTTTTCAAATACGTTTTTAAATAATTAGTTTTGAAAGTTTATTTTTAATGAGGATCTATTCACCCCTTCTAGATAAGTCACCGAAGTCTAACACTATTTGGGCCACTCCAAATATAAGAGATATCCCAACAAACTCCCTCGACCGACTAGTTGGAGGGTAATACCAATTCGGCTTTCATTCGAAAAAATTCAAAATTTCCCCTAGGCAACACATTCGTCAACATATCTTAATCATTATCATCAGTGTGAATCTTTTCAAGCTCTATCAACTTGGAATCTAATGTATTACGAATCCAATGATAACAAACATCAATATGCTTCGTGAAATTCTGGAACGCACACAATATCAGAAGTTAAGGCTAATGCCTTAACAACACACAATGTCACAACAAATGTTATGATATGTACTGATAGAACAACAAACAAAATACCAACACATCAGAATTATAACTTGCAGATAAAGAAAGAACACAACGATATGTTAAATCAGTTTAGTGCTAACTCACCTACACTGGGAGGCTACCAAGCCAGGAAAGAAATCCACTATTAGTAGTATTAGTTCTAAGCTAAACTAGTCTCAAGTTTACAACTTATCGCCTAATCCCTACTCAGTGCAACTTCTACCCAGGTCCTCCCTAGATATGAGAAATCGACATTCCACTTCCAATCACCGCAGTGATAAATAGATCTACCCCAACCCCAGTGGTAGTCTTTAATTAAGTCACAGTCACAACA